GGCACCCAATTTCCTTGCTTCTGAATCATTCCCATGGCTTTGAGACGTTTTGAAATAGCTGATTGAGTCACTCCTAATGATCGTGCCAATTCTTTTTGATTTTGACAAGAGTCTTGATCAAGTAATGCCTTCAATTCTGCATCTTCGAAAACCTTCTCTCTTCCATCGCTATGCTGGTCTTCGACGTGAAAATCACCGTTCTTAAAGTGTTGAAACCACTTATGACACGTTCTTTCACTAGTAGCGGCTTTACCATAAATATTTGAAAGCATTCGATGAGCCTCAGCCGCAGATTTCTTCATATTGAAGCAGAAAATTAAAACCTCCCGCAAATGACAAGAATTTGGCTCGTAAACTGACATTTTCAATCGAGAATAACTTTATGATGCAGACACAAATCGACTAATGTTTCTTTTTGAATTATGTTGACAGATTCCCAAGTTTATTGTGTGACGTCTATGATCTATTTATTTCGATCACCACTTACCGCTAAAGCCATCTATACGAAAACCGAATGAGCAAAGTCATACACCTAATAGTTTTTGAGATTTTAAAGCAGGTTTAATAATGTTTTTTTTTTTGGAATAAAACATATTGTGTTTCTTCCATATATATTTTTAATGCTTTAAACAGTACTATAAAAAAACATATTTAAAATATATTAAAAACATCAAACTAAGCATGTTTTAAACTGTTTAAAACACGTTTAAAACATGTTTTTTATTAATTCTATTTCAAAGTCATCGCGATTTTTTTTTAATGAAATAAAGAAGAATTCGACATGTATATATTGACATCAATCGGAATCGCCTCGAAATCATTGAAAGTGCGAAACGTTTATTTATCGCATTCGAAAATGTACGGAAGCAAATGGCAATCATTTTGAACATCTTATAAACTAAATTAAATGAATATCTTCATTGAAAACATTTAGGTATGTTAACTTTTCTTTTTCCCATATAAATGTAATTTTTTTAATATTCAAGGTTATCTGAAAGACAACATATCATGTATGATTGAATTTGTTTTTTTTTATGAACTACATTACTACATAAATAAAAATATGTTATTTTATTTTAAAAAATTATGGTGACCTTGAAATATCAAAAATAATAATATGACTTTGAAAAAAATTTTTTTGCATAATATGTGTCCTTTCTAATTGAACAACTTTCCCTGTATTTTTTCATATCATTAAAAATAATGGAGACATTTTAAATGGTCAAATTAGAGGAAACACCTTGTATATTATGTATACAAACGTAATATATATAATGATGTTCCCAGATAGCAAGGTTTGCGAAGACAGATTTTAAGTAGAGCATGCTGCCAACCTTTTATTGCAGAAAGGCAATAAATTGCATAGTTTGTACTATTTATAAAAGTTTGTACTATTTATCAATGTTAGTAAACTGCTTTTAAAAATAAGACAAAGCCTGTTTTGTCAGCAGAAATCGAAAGATTTTGCAGCTTTTATTCAGTTTCTGCTCTCAGTTTGCCATTAGATTTCCAGTAGATCCTGTTTAGTTTCTGTCACAAATCTGCTAGTATAACATGACAGCAGTCTCGACAGGTCTATATTCAAATGTGGACACAAATGACTATGATTTTATAATGGGAATTTGATCGAATTTACTGTCAATTTTCCTGCAAACTGCTAGAATTTTGTAGTCAGAGTTTGTAATAAGAGATTTATAGGCACATGATAATCTATGCAAAAACATAATAAAAATTTTATATTTATTAAAATGGTATTTATTATTATCTATATTTAATAATAAAAATGTAATAACTTTTTTCTTTCTTTTTCACTTTTTTTGTCAGTTCTAATATGGAAACAATAAAATCGTATAATATTTTGTGAATATTATAAATGCATTATTATCAGATCAAGTTCTTGTGAACTCTGTTGTAGTTTAATAAAAATGTTTACTCATTTGTTTGTGCGCGTGTATTACTGTATCTAAATCGATGACAATGAACATCATAAAAATGAAATCAAAATGTGAAAGTTCTTTTTTAAATATTTGTCAGGAGCTTAACTAAGTACTCCATAAGAATTTTAACTTTTTAATATATAATTATACCGTAAATATCATGTATTTTGTTAAAAAATTTGATACCAAATTGAAAAAACGCAATTTCGCAGAATTTTAGTGATGCATAATTTTTTAATGAAAACTATGAAATCCATATTAATTAATATATTATAAATTTCTTAATGCGAGTGTAGTCATATGTGATATTTTTACTCCAGTGATATAAAAAGTGTAAATTATAGCAAAATATTATTTTATATGGATATTGTTTAATATAATTTTTTTCTTCTTAGATATGCAATTTTAATAATTTAAAACCTGTAATAAAATTATACTAATATAATGATATTAATAAAAATCTTAATTTTTCATATATACAAGGTTGTAGATTTTTAATGTTTTCATAACATTGATATTTCATAATACCGCATTTAATAGTTTATATAAAATTTCTTATATAATGATCCACATTATGCATTTCTTGCTTCGTGATTTCAAAAATCTGTTAATGGGGTTTTTCCCCAAGTCTTTATTATTTTATGTTTACATAGATATATGTAAGGAAAATAATATATATCTAAATTTCTTAATATGTACGTGTAAATATTATTTTTATAATATGTATTCTTTGTATTATTTTAAAAAACAATCTTACTATGTTAAATGTTTTGTCAAAAAAAATTAATAATAATACGTGACTTTAATACTCAAAAAATTTTCACATTTTTACGATTATTTTTTTCGATAATTTATTTACAAACTGTTGCAAATTATTTCTTTCGATAGTTTAATATTGAAAAATTTACATAATAATTTTCTTTAAAACTATCTGAATAGTCTGAATCGAGATATAACATTTATTAATTAATAGAGAGATTGTATTAAATTCTGTTTTATTTTATTATGAAACACGTCTTAATTATAATTGACGATAACGTGGAATTATTCAAAAATATGATGCAGCATAAAATAAAGATTTATAAAATATTGTAATGGAATACATAAAATAGTAAGTATAAAATAAAAGTAATAGTACGACAGTCCAGTATGTAGAAGACCGTATCATAGTCTATAGAGTGACTTACCGCGGAAACTCGACAATTCTTAAATCAAGTACATTGACTAACAGGAGAGGACACAAAACTGTTCGAATTTTTTTGGTTATGGGGGGAGGGGGGGCAATCATTACAGTTATAAAGTATACATATATTAGCAAATAAGTCTAATGATGAGCGTCTACATGAAGCAAATGCATTCATAACTAGAATGTCAATATATTGTTTGTACAATTAACATTTTTATTAAAATGTATGAGAATACTGACAATGAGAAATATACACATATGTGTGGTGTTTTTTTTATATAAAGCAGATACACAACATAAATATTAATATTATTCTTATTATACCTATTTAATTTATATTTTTTACATGAGTTATTATTATATATTATTGTTGTATTAAAAAAATATTATATAACAAATGAAATGTGTGTTCTTTTTAATCAGTATTAATTAGTAAAGAAATTAACTTTTTAATGCATATTTAATTTTTTGAATTAATACATATATTTACAATATTTTTATTAATTCAGCACCTATAAAACTCTCTCCTTGTGGAGGTGATTGTAGCACAAATACTGTGATCATTGCAATGAACTTCATACACTAAAAAATGTTTTAATAATTATATATTATAATTATTTACTTTAATATATTGTATTTAAGAAAATATGTATTTACCTAATAGGTTGTTACACACATATATATATATACACATATATATATATATATATATATATATACATATATTTTACATATATTGAATAGATTATTTCTCATGTAACGTGTTTAAATTTAAACTTGTAAATCTGAAATTCGTCATATTTGAAAGATAACTACAAACCTCAAGAAGAAATTCAAAACCAAAATTAAAAAGACCAAACCCGGAGATTTTTAATGGCCTCCGTAATATTTGGAACAGAAACTGTGTGATCTATAAATAATTACATAATTAAAGACATTTAATTTTGTGCAAGAATACATTGCATTTACAAAAATATTGTCGCTTACAGCTTCATAAGTCTCGACATCAAAAGTAAGATTTGTTAATCTGTTTAAAAATATCTCGACACTATTTGCCTAATATTAACAAAGTTGTATTAATATACGCATTTATTTAAATAAAAATATAAGTTATACAATAATATAATACTGTAATATAAGTTACACAACTGTTATATTCTTTATTAAACTACATATAAAAACACATAAATTACTAATTTATTTGAATAATAACAAATAATAAACTATACAATTTTATTATTTATAATATACATTTGGAAATGTTTATACCTTATTACAAATTCTCTCACAGATGTAATTAAGGATAATCATTTTTATGATGATAATTATAATCCAGAAATAAATACTAAGTAGATTAAGCAGTTTTTCATGTGTGAAATCAGCTATCATCATTGTGACATAACATTGATATATAATTTGCACTGTGAAAATGTGAAATGCAATTACTTGCATCATCATTTGTAATCCAAATATCATGTTTAATTCGCGTGATATCGAACATAATTCGAGATGAATATGCCTGCGAAATGTACTTGATAAATGACATTTTTAGGTTATCGCATATAATGTACAGGGTATGGCAAAAAGAACTCCCCAATTTCGAGGGGTCATTGTTCCGAGAATAATGAGGATAGAGACGGGATGGTGGCTCATTCGAAAGCTAGTTGAATGCAATTTTCAATAAACGCCATGAGTTGGATCGGTGAGCATCGTTTTGTGAGATATGTTCTCGTTTCATCTCTCCTTAAGAGGGAATGTAGGGTGGCCGCCACGATCTCCCTTTGACTGTTTGTGATTTTTTTCTGTAGAGGTATCTTAAGGTTCACGTCTAGGGTCATCGATCCCGAACATTAGACGAACTAAGAGCCGCCATTAGACAAGAAATCGAAATTATTTTACCCGACATGATCTAGAAGGTGATGGAAAACTTCCGAAATCGCTTCCAATTTTGCATTAACCGCAACGATCCATTTGGATGATGTAATTTTTAAAACGGTGTAAATCAAAAGTGTTAGTTGCATTATATGTAAACTTCAGAAATAAAAAGTTTGTTTCCCTACTATTTTCCGTTTTTATCCTATTGACTAACGAAATTGGGTAGTTCTTTTTGCCGCACTCTGTACAATAAAGTACTTTATTTATTTTACATTAGCGGAGCTCTCAAATTTTTATATTACACAAAGTATTTATTATAAAAATTAATGAAGCTTATGTAATATATTGTTTTTTCTAATAAATTTCTCTTTATTCAAAAAATAAATGTTTATTTATTTGGAATAGATACAACAATAATTAATATTTTTTTCTATATATTAATAAATCTCTTTAAATTTCAACTTATTATTATGTATAATTGAGAATCGCTTTAATAATCATGCTTTCTTTACTATTCTTACATTAAAATCCATATATTTTGTTTAGATAATATTTTGGTGCCAGCTACGTGTCGGTGAGTCAAGGACAAAGTAGAATTTGCCCATGCATATCCTACTTTCTTTTGCTCTGCTAACTTTTGAATATACTTGTTAATATGCTCAAATTGAAATCCAATGTATCTACATTAAATGTGATGCAAAATAATAAATTTACAATAATTAATTTACGAAATTAACAGTAAAAAATAAATAATTTTAACTTGGCTATACCATCTGTCCAATTTGTTGTATAATATAATAATTTTTAAAAATTTATTTAAAAATAATATTATGTTATATACAATATTATTTACATACCTTAGCAGCATCATGTACATAAAATCATACAAAGTGTTGATATGAATGGGATGATTTCCAATAGGTGCACATATTGCCATTATGGAGTAAGATCTAGGAATATGTTCACGGTACCACACATAATCGTTTATATCTATTAAAGATATCAAGATCATCCAACCAATAATTAACCATGTAGTTTGTATTCTCAATTTTGCATAATTTTTCGAAGTTCCCAACTTTTCTATTGTGTTGCTCACAATATTTAGTTTGTCCAAACAACTTTTAAATTTCTGAAAACAATTATATATATTACTAAGAGAAATATAATTATAAATAACAGTAGGAATAATTATAATATTAAATTATAATATTATTGTATATTTCTAATATTAGAAATCAAATAATATTAAAGTGTAAAGAAATGGTGTAATATATTCAAATATTGAGAATATTAGAACATTTTTGTAATATCTGTCAATACTTTTTATATTTTAAATATCTCTACATTTTTGCATTATATTTTGTATAACTATTTAAAGTAGTGCACTATCTATTTTTTAAAAGGCTGTGTTATTCAAATTTATTAAAATGGATTTGCATTATTTTCAAAATGGTCCATATGACATCATTTTTGCACGTTTCCTCTTTAATATACATATGAAAAAGAATGAAAATAAATTCACCTTTTTAATACTTACAAGATAGATTGAATGAACTTACCTTATTATAATAGAAATTAGACAACATGTATAGTATTGCAAAAACCATATTAGTATAATGAAACACAGTATAGGTAAGTTTATTTTTCCGAAGAAATATTGCCATTTTGAAGGCGATGTAAGCGTAAAACAGCCACGATATCAGAATGTAGAAAATAGTGAAACAAAATTTCGGTTGATTTTGAGGATATTTAAACACTCCAAATCCACACAAACACAATACTACTGATAGTGGTGATATTGCCGTCTGAATATCCTTCATGGCAATTTCTTAAGGATTAACTTAAGACTTCTTACTTCGTTTTATATATATATATATATATAGGATATGAAACATTTGTCTTATAACAAATGTGTCGTAATGTGTCACAATAAAAATTATATTCACACTAACACTTCAAACACAAATGATAATTCTACCAATTGCATCAGCACTTACGCAAATTAAAAAAATCGATCTGCTAGAAAAAGACTTGTTTTACAAATTAAATAGACAAAGTAATACAAATTAAAATGAAATAAGGGAAACGAAATGAAAATAAAATATGTGCTACATGTTTGCATTTTTAGATATTATTTTTTCACATTTAGAACAATATAACATTTCCTTAATATTTCTCTTATGGATCTCCTCTTATATCACGATTATGATAAAATTGAAAAATATACAAAAAATTATACAGCAGTAATTCAACTATTTATATTACATATCATTATATTATTATAAGAATAGTTTTTAAAGACAAATTAAAATTATATAACACCACAATATATATTTAAATTCAGTTTTATTTAAAAATGCATATATTTTTCATATATTATTACGTATATTTTGTTATCTGTATTACAGTACAGTTATATCTTCACAAAGCCATTTAAAATGTATTTTAGGTAATTTGTAAAAAGTGGGATTATAATGAAAAATAAGACAAGGAATTATAAATTTATGGAACATAAATAAAAAAATTATAACTTTGCTATATCAGCAATAATTATATTGCATTCTATGATGATATTCTTATTAGAAAATTTTAATTTATTTATTTTTTATTAAAAATCTACGTCCGTTTTTGTTTTGTCAGACATTTGTATAATAATAATCATAAATCCTGTAATCGTAATGACGAACTGCAAAAAAATATATAAATTAAATTTTATATCAATAAAATAGTCAATAAATATATATACACGACTATTTTAAATACGGCTTTTCTATAATAATTTACTTCCATCATACAAAAATGAATATACCTAATAATAAAAATTCTAAAATATTATAAAAATGTAAGATATTATGATTCATTAAGATGTAAAATGTTATTAAAACATTTGGTCTTTTAATTTATGATATAATGAAAGTAATGTAAAATATGAAATATAAATATAAACTAACATTTCGTAAGAGACTATTGCCAAAATAGAAGAGACCCAGTCCAGTAAATTTAAGCGGATTATATATTATTTGCAATGAAAATTGATAAATCTGCATACATATTGAATTGTTACTTTTATTTACTAAAATAATTTCTTTGAATTGCTTTTTACTATTAAAATCCCTTTACCTCGTCACGAATATCAGTGTATCGAAGACAATTTGTCAATTGGCAAATTATTTTTTCTATTTTATTAGCCTAAAATTTATAATTTATTATGTGTAGTAAATATTATAAAGTATTGAATATTATTGAATATTAAGAATATTATTGAGTAATATTTATTAAAATATTTTAATACAGGTATGTATATTCTTAATAATGCATGCATATGCGCGTATATACATATATGTGTATGTGTATATGCATATACATATATATATATATATATATATATGTATATGTATATGTGTATAAATTTAGATGAATATAGATACCTTAGTACTAATTTTCTCACACATGTAATTTAAGCTGAAAAGTCGAGCCAAAAGCACAGATATCCAAAAAAATATATTAAGCCAAGTGAATGGCGAATTTAAATACCGACTTTTTGTTAGAATATGCATGAAAAGGTAATTAAACAATCTTGTAATACATATTAAATAGGTTGTCATTGCCATAATCATTTGAGGTCCGAATATTGTATTTAATTTACGAGCGATTTGACATAATTCTAAGTGGAGATGTCTGTCAAAAAACAAAATTTATTAATAAAAAAATAGAAATATATGATAAAAGAGAAAAAAATTATTTTGTTATTTTTTAAATAAATTTTTTTAATAAATCAAATTTCTGTCAAATCTTGTGTATCTTATATTTATTATTTAATCAGATCCAATATATAAATTATCTTTTTCAGCATTAGTGATACCGATTTACATTGAGATCCACAGAATGTTCTTGTAATCAGTACACGTGATATATCGGAGATTAATTGGTTCAATTTTTCTCCATAAATATTTTAAGCCATATCCTTTTTTTACTATTAAGTATTGCATGTGCTCGTTCACTTTATCAAATCTGGTGCCAATGTACCTTATGTTGTAAAATAAAAGTGATTATAAAATTTTAAAATATATGAAGTTATCTCCTAGTAAAAATAACTATTAAGATTTATATAAACATTGTATTATATTTTTATTTGTACCAATTATTATACCTTATACATATATTTGTTAATTATATTTTTATATATCATTTATACTTAAAAATGATTTTTACAGTAAAGTAATTTGTAAATAACTTTGTGAATAATATTTATAATGATTTCTTTTTGAAGTTATTTTTATTAAAGAATTTTATAAATTTTTATTTTCTCTCTTTATCTTTGTCCCTCTTTATCTTTATTATATAAATTAAAAGAGATATTAAATATACACGTAAATATTTTTAAATATTATATACATACCATAAAATAATTATTATTAATAAATCCGTCAACATGTTAACGTGATGATAATGATTTATGATGTATGGTATAATCATATATCGATACTCTTTCATCCTATGGAACCACCATGCCATATCAAATATATTTGTCGTGTAGCTACATATTAACCATCCAATTAATACGCCTTTTGTATAAACATGTAGTTTTTGATACATCTTTGGAGTTCCTAATTCTCCCAATGTATCTTCTACGGCATCAAGTCTCTTCATTAATGATCTAAATTTCTAATAAATATGTAATATTAAATTTCTTTAACAGTACTCGTAGGCAACAATACAAAATATTAAATAATAGTATCGGCAAATGTGTTTATTTTATAAGGTATGATTATATAAAAAAGTTTACTTAGAGAAAAATAATACCTTTACTATAAAATTATAATTTATCTTGAAAAAAATTGAATAAATAAATAAATAAATATATATATATATATATATACACACACACACGTACCTTGTCTTGATATACACTCGTGATAATAGATGTAATGGTAGTGAGAATGCCAATCCATACAAATATTATATTAGATAGTGATTGAAACCACATTTCTGCTTTAAATGCAGTTGTCACATAATAACAAAGATAACCATAACTGATCCATACTATTAGATTATAGAAAATATTTAAATAAAATTTTTTTGGGGAATAGATACCTAAGCCGAAAATAGAATAAATCAGAAATAATGGATATACAGCCTGCTGTACGTTGGTTATCATATTTATCACTCTCGCGGTTTCTGCCGCAAACTGACATCACTTTTTGTATGAAGGTATTCCATTAACATATAACTCGTTTGTCAAGACAATATAATAATACATCATTAAATTAATGCATCACTTAATTCTCATAAACATTAAAACAATGAATCAATCGATATCGCTAGGCGACATTAATGACGATGATTGGCGGTTTAGGTTTTTTGGTCATCTGTCTATTTAAATATTTAATTCGATATTAAAATTGTTTGACAGATTGAGCAGCTACATTTTTTAATGAATAAATCTTTTTTAAGGAATAAATTTTTATAATCAATAATTAAATTTATTCTTCATATAATATAAAAACTTATAAGTTCTATAAATTCTACTTATATAATAACCAATAAATCAAAATTAGATTTTACAAAAATTGGTATTTCAAATACATTAAAAACACGTATAATTACTGAATGATATAAATTAAAAGAATAATGTGTATATTCAATAATAATAAAGTTACGTGTATACTCAATAATAATAAAGTTCTATTGTAAATAGTATGATAAGTATAATATTAAAATAATTTTCGTATTTAAAATTATATAGAATAACTATTACAATAATTAATTATAAATAATTGTAAAAAAAGTTATGCATAAGTATAGAGAAACCTTGGGTATATGCTACAATAGAAGTGCATCGAAAAATTTTTTAATATTTTTAAATTTATAATTAATAAAAATAGATTTTAAGTGATAATTAATTATAAATAATCTATTTTTTAATGTTAAGAATTA